CATAAATATCTACACTATGTTCCTATCTACAATGCTACCTATCACTTGTGCTTCTAAGTCTGACAGATCTGTGAGGAGTAATTATTTCTGACTACAATTCTATATAAATCGTAATACAGTGGTTTATTCTCTACCCAACTTGTGTATATTCTAATTGGTCTTCTGACTACAGGCCATGAAGAAAGCACTGTGGATTTTTTATGTAAAAATAGAAAGAAACATGTATGAAAACTTAACTAAATAGAAAAGGTTTGAATTTCAGCAGAAGCCATGACACTAGTCTGAGTGGGTCTGGCAAGTACATGAATAATGTGCAGCCAATATGGGTAGTAACATGTAGAACAGATGCACACACAGAAGTACACCCACATGCAAAAACACACATTTTTATCTCTCTTCTCTCTCTTCTCTGTCCTCTCTCTCTCTCTCTGTCTCTGTCTCTTCCTGTCTCTCTCTCTCTCTCATGTTCTCTCTCTCTTTCTCTCTCTCTCTCTCTCTTTTCTTCTCTCTCTCTCTCTCTCTCTCTTCTCTCTCTCTCCTCTCTTCTCTCTCTCTCTCTCTCTCTCTCTCTCTCTCTCTCATGTCTCTCTCTCTTCTCTCTCTCTCTCTCTCTCTCTCTCTCTCTGTCTCTCCTCTCTCATGTCTCTCTCTCTCTCTGTCTCTCTCTCTTCTCTGTCTCTCTCTCTCTCATGTCTCTCTCTCTCTCATTGTCTCTCTCTCTCTCATGTCTCTCTCTCTTCTCTCTCTCTTTCTCTCTCTCTCTCTCTCTGTCTCTCTCTCTCTCTCTCTCATGTCTCTCTCTCTCTCTCTCTCTCATTCTCTCTCTGTCCTCTCTCTCTCTCTCTCATGTCTCTCTCTCTCTCTCTCATGTCTCCTCTCTCTCTTCCTGTCTCTCTCTCTCTCTCTCTCTGTCTCTCTCTCTCTCATGTCTCTCTCTCTCTCTCATGTCTCTCTCTCTCTCTCATGTCTCTCTCTCTCTCTCTCTCTTCTCTCTCTCTCTCTGTCTCTCTCTCTCTCTCGTTTCTCTCTCTCTTCTCTTCTCTCTCTCTCTCTCTCTCTGTCTCTCTCTCTCTCTCTCATGCTCTCTCTCTCTTCTCTCATGTCTCTCTCTCTCTCTCATGTCTCTCTCTCTCTCTCTGTCTCTCCTCTCTCTCTCATTCTCTCGCTCTCTCTCTCATGTCTCTCGCTCTCTCCCATAATTTTCCATTCTCTAACCTCACTCTTCATCTCACTTTATTCTATACATTAATTCCCACACTCCTCTTAATAAAATAATTCATTTACTCATCATTTGTTTCCTTGTCTACTTGTTTTCTGATTTACAAACAGATTCACCAGCATTCTCCATTCAAGAAAGTCCTTGTAATACAAAATTTAAAGGGAAGGAATATTACAAAAAAGTTCACAGGCTAACATACAAAAACAGGGATACTTACATTTGCGAGTTACCTATTTTGATATCTCACACACACACTCATTACAGAGCGTCCTATACACCTGCCAAAACTATTAGGTACTATGAATGATACACACAAATTACTGTCGTAGAGTTTGCCATTCCTTGGATTAGTCAGGTGGCAATTTCTATTCACACAAGGCAAAATACTTCTTCCATATCTGTTCTCAGTTTTTCATAAATGGAGGAGGGGTTCAGGAGTTACATACTACACAAGAAAATAGACTCATTTTTCTTGTCTTTTTACATAACTCAATTTGGGTACTTCTAGAAATAAAGAGAGACACAGAAGTCTAACATGGGTTGGGGAGGGTGGGAGTAAACACATAAGATTCAAAAAATACAATATTGCTTACATACAATGCCTTTTTAAATCTAAATTAAGAATTTCTAATTGCAGTATTGTATTTACTTCTTTAAGTATTTCTTGTGTAATGTCAGTGAAATGATAATGATGAAAAACAGGGAGGAAAATGTTTATGTAAATACATTGACAATAATAACATTTCAACTAGACATAGGTTATATGGCAAGCAATAAGATATCAAATTCTAATATGAGGCCAAAAACAACAACAAAATTCCAGTACTATCTAAACAAGAAATATCTCTTCAGAATATTGCATTCTTATTCATCTATTTCTGGCATGATTAATTAATCTTAATCACGAAAAAAAGGTTTTAGTATGAGCTATGCTAACACAATTCCACTGCCATCTATTGTACAGCCAGACCAGTAAAAATATAAATATAAAAAGACTATTCTTTGTATCATCAACATTCTCTTGCCATCACCAAAATAGGCATTAGTAAAGACTAAGAGACCCATATAAGAACAGACAAATCTTCTTCTAGAGACAGATTTCTTACACAAAAGTCAGATTAAACGTCAACTGCATTCTCTTATAAGATCTCCAATGATGAATCCCTTGACCACTTACTGGAAGAAGGGGACTGTAACCCTAGAGGTGGAGGCTGCGAGCGGGGGTGCTTGGGTGTTGATGGCATCTTTGGGGGGAGGAGAGGGGTGTGCGGAACTGGCCAAGGCCATGCGCTCCAGGAACGTGTCCAGTTGTCGCAGGGAGAGAGCGTTGTGGAGGGTCTTCCAGGGGTCGGATGGAAGGAACACCTCCAAGGCCTTCAATGTCTGTAAAGGAGTTGAGTTCCAGTCCATGAATACAAAATACATGAAAACACAAAAAATAGGTTCTGCGCTTATGGTGAGTGTGTCGGTGAACCTTGTGCTGTGTCACTTGGCAGATGGAGAGAATGAGATAAATAGGGAACTAGGGAATTAGAGAGAATTAGATGGATAGAAAAAGAGTTGAAAAAATTCTTTATCTTTACCTTATATCATTGAACAAAGATAACAAGGACAACAACAACAAAATATATGTATATGTAAATGAAAAAAAAAAAAAAAAAAAGAGAAGCTAATCAGTACAATATAAACTGCACAATATCACTATTAAATCAACTGATTGTGTACTGGTGTTCTACACGAAACATAATGTAGTGAATGCCCAGCCAGTAAGGATAAAAGCAGACATTATTTAGCAGAGGCAAACAGGCATCACTACATGCAAGGAGTTTGGGGACAGGTCCTTGTGTGCCATGAATTCACAAGTAGAAGTTAATTATTTTTTTTAGACTATACATGGATATGGTCTGGTTAAAAAAAGAAGTTTTAAATGTGTAAGTTTTGTGTGTATATGTGGCAAATAGGTACATACTTTATACATCTGCACACATAATATAATACATACAAACACAAACACACACACACAACACACACACACACATTCACACACACATACATACTTCATGAGAGGTTCCCCTGTTCCTTAGTTAATGATATATGCTGAAATATCTAACCTTTTCACTCCAGCCGACATATACAGATGACATTCCACTGTGTAGGATATTGGGAAAATGGCCCTTGTTCTTGGACCAACTGTCTCAAGTAACTACGAACCAAATTAGTCCTAATTACTCATAATGTTCTTACTCATATTACTGTTCTTACATCCTATGTCTTCCAATAATGTTCTGTTTCCACCATGCTACATTCTCACA